TCGCTGGGTGATGTAAGATGTAACGTTAGGGCCTTAGGGAGGAGAGCAACTTACCAACTAAATCCTAATGACTTTGTTACTCACGATTGACTCTGTTATGTCTTATTCGATAAGATTATGCAGCGATTGGGAGATTTGAAGAACTACTTTGTGGGTAAATAAAGATTCAGTTTATTTCTTGCCATCATGTTACGACCGCTACCCACCAAGGTGTGTGACTCAATGCAGGATCACGACTTCCTCTCGATATCATTTGCGGCTAAGCTTATCCGACCGCCAATAACCTTCGATTCTCAACTATTGGTATATCTGTTGAGAAGGAAGCTTCACTTATAAAGAGATTTGATAACGTGTTATATGACTTGACAACATTTGTGAGAACCATCAAGGCTTTGGTAGCATACCAGTTAAAACTTCAGAAGGGTCATTATTTTTAGGATGAATAGCAACAGATCGAGTCTTCTAATCATAGGCATAAGCACCGGGACATACTGAACACCGCTTGCGTGTCCACTGAGTCCCCTGTCATATCTCGGTTGCGAGAAGCATCAGTTGTACCGAAGATGGAGCGGCCGGTTTGCCAATCATCTTATCCTACTTTATATGATTCGCCAAGTGTGTGTGTATGTCGGTATGTATGTGTGTATGTGTGTATGTGTGTATGTGGTGTGTGTGTGTGTGCGGTGTGTGTGTCGGTGTTTGTGCCGGTGCGTGTTTGCGGAAATTCATAACTTCTGTTCCCATGGACCTAGCAAGCTCAAAATTGGTAGGAGTACAAGGGGCAACTGGGAGCACTTATGGCAGGCAGCAGGACTGGACTCCGCCTACAGGGGGCGGAGCGTGCGCGATAGATATTTTAGGTCGCAAATACATAACTCCTGTTCCAGTGGACCCAAAACGTTCAAATTTGGCAGGAGTACAGGGGGCAGCATACGAACATTTATGACAGGTGACGGACTCCGCCCAAGGGGCGGAGTGTGCGCGATAGATATTTTAGGTCGCAAATACATAACTCCTGTTTACGTGGACCTAGGGAGGTTAAACTCGGTAGGAATACGGGGACAAGGATGGGAACACCCATGGCAGGTGGCAGGACCAGACTCAGCCTACAGGGGGCGGGGTTTGTGCAGAGTAAACATTCGAGCGGAAATCCGTAACTTCTGTTTCTGTGGACCTAGAGAGTTCAGATATGGTAAGATCACAGCTTTTTGTATTAACAGTGGAACCTCGCCTTTTTAATAAGTGGTATAGGATATGACGCGATCCTGGGTAACAAGAACCGATACTAACTGATAAAAGAAGATAAGGGGCCCAAGAGAGCAAGTGCCACCTGCCGATCGAAATCCTAATGCCTTCGGTATTTACGATGTAGCTTTGGCTGTTCAGTATGTTTCGTTCGATAAGATGAGATGGTAGAGTGGGGTTACAAAAGGAGTGGTCAGTGCAGTTATGGGAACCCATTAGCGGCATTACGATAAGCAGATAAAAATTTTGTTCATTTCTTGCTATCAGATTAGGACCGCTACACAGCAAATTTTGTGACTTGATGAAAGATCCTCACTGTTCGATATCATTTGCGAAAAACCTAAGCGACCGCCAGTTATTTGGAACTCTTAACTAATGTTATCTCTGTGAAGTAAAAGATTCATTGATAAGATCTGATAATGGTTTATCAATACACGAAATATTTGTAAGTACCGCCAAAGGCCTAGTAGTTACCTAATAGTTCAATCTTTTTTGGATATTTATCTTCAAGAACGAGAGCAAAAGATCGAGACTCCCAATTAAAAGCGTAAGTACCGACTTTCACTGAATACCAATACCCTGTTAGTCCTGTGTCAAACTTCGCGTACAGGAAAATATTATTGGGTTGTCCGAAAAGTTTCCGCCGATTTTTGATACCCCGGATTTATGAACCGTTGCACAAAAGATCAAGGATGCAATCTAATAAAGTTATATGTTTTCTGAAAGGGTAGATCCTCCTCCATGTCCCTGTTAGGTTTCTGACAACATTCGTCGAAGTTTTTCTGTACAGGACTCGAATGAAAATGGAGAACCACTGCGCGCATTTTCGACATCTGAAGTATTTC